TTGGAATTCTGCCACACGCACAACTGTGTGGTCTTGGAAGGGCGACCTGACCTTTCTGAGCTTCCGTGTCCCGTCTGCCTGTCAAAGGGGAACGACAGTCGCACTCAGTGTGAAGGCCGGGGCCGTGGCGGGTTGTCCGTGGCTTCACCGGGTGTCTGCAGTTCAGCCGGGCTTGGGAAACTACTCTGAAGGGCGGAATGGACACTCACAGTGCACGTAAGTGCTCGGGGAGTGTTAGTGTTCTGGCACCGTGTTCCTGCAGCATTTCCAGGCCCTGGCCCCATCGCGCTCTGCATGGCAGGTCAGGAGAAGGTTGGTCCTTGATTTGTACAGTGAATGTTGTGTCCTGGGCCGGTAGGCCCTGGGGATGTAGTAGGTTCGTCGTGGGCAGAGAGTCCACGCTTGTGTGGGGCTCACACGGTAGTGGAAGGAGAAAGGCCCCCCCCCCGCCCCCGGGGCTGAAGGTGCTCCGTGCCGTGTGGTGGGCTGTGGGGAGAGTGGGGTGGGGGCTGGGGCAGAGGAAGAGGGGAGTTGGGGGCTGTGTTCTTAGTAAGATGGTCATGGAGGGCCTTACTTGGGAGGTGACTGCACAGCCCAGGTAGTTGACGATGACCTTGGACCGAGCCTCCGTTCCCCCAGCTGTGGCTCAGGTCTTCGGCAGGTAAAGGCAGGGTGAGGTGAGGCCCAACGCCCGTGAGCTGTCCTGAGCTGCACCCTCCACAGCGCCCGGGAAGATGCTGCCAGCTCCTTCCAACGCATTTTTCCTCTCTGGGCATCCCTGGTGCCTGGCTTTCCAGCCCCATGCGGACCACCCTCGAGGGACTGTCCGTCCAGCCCCTCCACTGGGGGTCCCAGAGCTTGCGGCAGGGCAGCGGGCGGCTCAGGCAGGCCCCTCACAGGAAGCCAGGCTGCCCCGCCCCGGCTGGCTCGCTCTGCTTTGCCCTGGCACCCCGAACCCCAGCTGTGTTTACACTAGCCCAGGTGCCAGGGCTTTCAAAACAAGGGTGGTGGTGTTTTTGGTGCGCCTTTTGGTTACAAAGCAGTGTGCACCTGCTGGGGCCACCCTCCCCTGTCCTGTTCTGGTGGCCTGGCGTGTTTGTGGCTTCGCTGGGACGTCAGAGCCACCATCTTTGCTTGGGGCCGGGACGCCCGTGGCTTTAGTTCACTTGCTGTCTCCCCTGCCTCCCACCCCCCGCCTGCACATCTCGGAGTGAGGCAAGCCTTATTTCGAGATTCGTTTCTGGCCATTTGGGGGTGGGGTGGGGAACATACAGCACACGTCCCGGGGGAACACTTCGTTTGGAACGCTGCTTCTCAGATATGAGTGTAGCTTCCGAGGCAGTTGATTTTAAAACCTAGGGTCCTGTCCCCACATGCAGGGATTCTGCTTTAGTGGGTCGGGGCTAGGACCAAGGAATCTGTGGGATCATCATCCCTGTCGTCGTCATCATCACCATCACCTTAATGTCAGCTCCGTAGCCGGCCACACTTGAGGAAACTTAAATCTCACGGCCTCCCTCCCTCACTTGCTCGTCGGTCGAGGCCGAGTGAGGTCTGTTGTATCCAGACCTGCGGGGTCTCGCCCAGCTCCGAGCCCCCAGGGGGCCCTCGGGACACGTGCTGGAGGCAGAGGCGGCGCGAGGTGGAGCTTGCATAAAGAACCCTTCACTCACAGCGTGAACAGCTGCCCATTAATGGATCCCCATAGCTGTGTTGGCGTCTTTTTTTAATCCTCGCCTGAGGATGTATTCATTGACTTAGAGAGAGAGAGAGAGAGAGAGAGATGTGAGAGAGAACGGTCCGTCAGCTGCCTCCCACACGCTCCCCAACCAGGGGTCAAACCCTCAACCCGCGCATGTGCCCCGACTGGGAACCAAACCCACAACCTTCTGGGGTATGGGATGATGCTTCCGGCAATGGAGCCACCCGGCCAGGGCTGTTTGCAGTGTCAGTGGTTGAATTTCTCTCAGAGTCATGTTTTTGTTCAGGATTTTTTGGGGAAGAGATTTTATTTATTTATTCTTAGAGGGGAAGGGAGACAGAAAGAGGGAGAGAAACATCGATGTGTAAGGGAAATGTTGATTGGCTGCCTCTCCCATGTGCCCAGACTGGGGACCGAACCTGTAACCTAGGCCTGTGCCCTGACTGGGACTGGAACTGGTGACCTTTCGCTTTGGGGCGGTGATGCCCAACCAACCGAGCCACACCGGCCAGTGCTCTGTTGGATTTCTGGGGGTCAGGATTTTAATGACAAAACAGTAGCAGCCTGAAAAGAAGAACTGAATACGGTCATTACGTTCGAAGGAACCCAAGTCTCACCTTCCTCCCTGGATGCTGCTTTGGTAAAGATGTAGGAAGTCACACCATTGATTCGTGCTTCTGAGTCCTGGTTGCTCTTTGGAATCACCGGGAGTCTAACAGGGACCAATGCTTCGGTCCCACCTCCAGCCCCGGCCCCGGCCCCAGCCCCAGCCCCAGCTTGGTTGGTTGGGCTGTGGTCTGGGTGCCAGCACTTTTGAAGCCCCCCAGAGCAGCACCCTGAGTCGATCACCGCAGAACCTGGCAGAAATGAAAATTCCCAGGCCTCACCCAGACCCACTGAGTCAGGACCTGCACTTTCTAAGGAGTCCTGCAGTCTAGGTTCACACAGCCAGCTGGCGGTGCTGGTGCCCGCGGCAGCTGGGGAACCACTGGCCGGGCTGGGGAGTTAGACAGAGGGGCAGAGGTCTGTGAGGTGTGGCGGGCATCGGGGGGCTTTGAGAAATGAATGGCTCCACTGGGACCTCAAAGGATGAGGGGGAGCTGGCCATGATGCAGAGGGAGGCGTGGCCAGTGGCCGGGGGAGGGGCAGCAGGAGCTGAGCGTGAAGGGCGTGTTTGGGAGTCCTCAGTTTAGAGCGTGTGACGAGGAAGCTGTGGGCAGTCTAGTGAGCTAGGAAGAATAGGTAGGGCCAGGGCCTCGATACCTGGCCAAGGCAGCTGTATCTTGCAACAGGGAGCCTGGCGGTGGGCCTGCATCTGGGGGAACGAAGCTGGTAGCAGGGCTCAAGTCCCTCCTGGGTGGGGGCGACCCTCCTGGTGCCCCACTGGCCTGGATCTCGGTGCCAGCCCCTCGTGGCGTGACTGGGATCTGGGTCAGCAGTTCCCACCCTTGGGTGGGGGGTGGGGTGAGAGGGGAGCGGGGGGTCAGCAGCCATCCCCGCGTGTCTAATACAGCAGTGGCAGTACCGTCACCGCACTTCTTTCTCCCAGAAGCGAAAGCGTGACTCTCCCAGCAGAATGCTTTAGTGGTGGCTGGTGTGCTCGGGGACTGCCGTGGGCTTTGTAATCCTGCTTTAAAAGTAGCCCGTCTGTTTCTGCAGCAGCCGTTGTGGAGAGATCCTTGCTGCATCTCCTCCTTTAGAGATCTGCAGTGTCTCAAGAGGAGGCGCTTTGGACTCAAGGCCGGGGAAACTCATATTTATACCTCGCTGGGCTCGCACCTCCCTACCCCTTCCTTGCTGTCTGTCTGTCTGTCCTTTCCCGCTTTCCTTTTGAATCTCGGGGCTGCGAGGGGTCGGGTGGGCGCGCAGGACGCAGCGTCGCCTCCCCCTGCTGCTCACTGCGTGCAACGTCTTGCTCGTGACAGAGGGCGGAGTGGGGCATCGCAAACAGCAGACGGACAGAAGTAGACTCCCTTTAATTAAAAATACGGAGTCCTTAATTTAACCAATCGTCCACACGTCGTAGGTTAAAAAAACGTTCCCCCTTTGTGGGAGGGTGAAAGGAATATTTTTGGCTCCTTCCATTCTTTGCGAAACGAAGACACGCGTTTATGAAGGAGTTGTTTCTTTCGTTCTGCCGCTGGGACCAGCGATACATTCGCAATCTTTATTCTCTGACAGTATTGAGTGTTGTTTTCTGAACTAAGATGACCAGATTTTTCCAGTGGAGCGCTTTGGGTGTGCGTTCAGGTCGGTCACAGACATCTATATGCTTTTTGACTGTGTATATACGGAACAACCAAAGTAATAATCCTTGTGGGCATGAACAGTGATATTTAATGTGAAGGGATTTTATCTTTCTACTTGATAATTGAACTCTTTTTTATCCTCACCCGAGGACATTTTTCATTGCCTTTAGATGGGAGGGCGGGGAGAGAGAGAGAGAGAGAGAGAGAGAGATAGAGATAGAGATAGATGTGAGTCCCCCACTGGGGAGCGAACCTACAACCTGGGCATGTGCCCTGAGTGGGAATCGAACCCACAACCCTTTGGCCTAACGGGACAGCATGCCAACCAAATGAGCCACACCAGCCAGGGCCGTGATTGACCTCTCTTTAATCACAAAGATGGTGTTTGTAAACACAGGGACACTGATGACGACCCGTGGACATGATCGCGTAGGGCCTCCTCACAGGAGCCACCACCCAAGGGGAAGCCTGAGGGGGGAGGTCTCCTCACGCAGCCCTCTGAAGTGCCTCCTCGGTGCCCCCCATGTGGAAGCCCCTTGTTTGTTAGCCTCTGAATTTAAATGTCCTTCTCGTAAAGCCCAGCCCTGATGACTTCTGCCATCCCTGCCTTGGCTCTGCCCCTGTTCACCTGAGCACGTGGGGCTTCTGGCAGTCGGTTGGGGTGCAGTCCTGTGCTGAGGGGCGGCCCGATGGGGGGAAACTTGAGACAGGAGGACAGACGTGCCGTGGCTCAGAGGCCGGGGCTGCACGACTCTTGCTAAGTGGGCACAAGCCAGTTAACTCCTTCAGGCACAGTCAGCTTGCTATTGTAAGGTCCCGCCAGCTTCACTCAGACGTTCTAATCGAATTATTGGCGAAGGCGCTCAGTCTCACTCGGGCGTCGGGAGCAGCCCTGGACATACAGAAAGAACAGAAAGAAAGTTGCTCTTACTCCCTTACAAAGACTGACACATCGCTCCCTGTCAAACCACCCAGAGCATTTGGCTTTTGGGTTTTGTTTGCACACGAGCTTTGTTCTAATCCCATTCTCCGTTTTCTTTTTTTTCCAGTCGCAAATGAAGCTGGAGACAAGGCTGCCAGACCACTAGCCCGCTTCTCCCGTGAGTAACTCTGTCCTCTCCTGGGCTCCTTCCGAGCCCGGTTCACCCCCGTGCTCCCGCCGAGTGTCCGTGCAACTCTGCCAGTGAGGGAGTGACGTAAGAAACGTCTTCAGTGGGTTCAGCTTCTTCCCACCCCAGCCCCATCGTGGGTGGGCCCGTCCTTGCAGTTGCCTGTGTAATCCTCAGAACTGCTGGTTTACCGGACTGTTCCAGGCTTTGCCATTCACGTGTGGTTCTGGGAGCAGAAAAGGTATCACCTGGGCGCCTCAAGCCCTCGAGGGCCACCCTCGTTCGCCACGCTGAGCGAGGCATGCCAGACAAACAGAATACAAACAACAGTTGTGGGGAATAAAGTAAGCACAGCACGGTCGCTGTAGTTAATAACATAGTATGCATTTGCTAGTGGCCAAGAGAAGTGCATCTTAGAGTGCCCAAGAAAAAAAAAATTGCAACCGTGTGCAGTGATGGATGGTAACTAGGGTTATGGTGGCCTTCCTGGGAGTTACTTTGAAATGTATACAAATATCAAGCCATTATGTTGTACACCCCACACTAGTAGAATGTTACATGTTAACTATATCTCACCACCCCCCAAACTCCCCCAAACAAACAAAAAACCCCAAACCAAAAAACCAAAGCAGTATACCTTTTCAAGGAACAGAGGTTACTTGTAGTGTCCAGACACGGCCACAGGGTGGCAGGAAAAGCCCAGAATTTGCTGTGCGTCTCCTCTCTGGGAGCCTTAAAAGAGGCTCCACTCTGTGCGAGGGACCCAGTTTTTGTGGGGAGAGCCCAGGGCAGTGGGAGAGATGGCAGGGGAGGGAGGCATGGGCCCAAAAGCTCGTGAGCAGGGCAGCCCTATTCTGGAGTTTCGATTGCTTCCCTGACTGAGAGGAGAATAATTTCTCCCCTGAGACTAGACGTGGTTGAAAAGAAAATAATGTATCAAAAGGAACAAGAAAACAGAACCAAAATTTGGCTTCTTTTGCTTCCGGAGGTAAAAATGCAGGCAGCGTTGGAAACAGATTATCCTACTGAAGGGGGCGATGTAGGTGGATGGAGGAGAAAGCAGAGGGAGCACCCGCCTGGCGGGAGCTGGGCAGGGGCAGGGACCTGTGCAGGGAGGGTGAACCCCACAGGTGAATTGCCGGGGGGTGATGTCCAGGGCAAACTCAGGGTCGTGTCTGGCAGAGCGCAAGAGCTGGGCCTTCCCTAAGTGACCTGTCACAGCTGGGAGGCTCTGTCGCAGGACTGGGGGCGTGGGCTGCGGGGTGGATAGGTTATGGAGCCAGGGTGACAAGAACGAGGGGAAGGTACAATGGGTGGCAGTGGCTATGGCTGATGGCTGGTGGCTGGGCATTGACAGTCCCCAGGGGCATGTCCCATGGACGCCCCAGAGCCTCCTAAAGGGCCCGGGACGGGGCCGGAGCTGCAGGGAGGTTTTCAGATTTGTCTTCAGCAGCTGCGGCGGTTCCTACACAGTTCAGATGAGCTGCTGCCCTGGATTCCACGTCAGCAGCACGCAGGGCCCGAGCTTCTTCGCTCCCACTGGTTCCAGCAGGAAGTTACCCTGCACTGCGGCAGCTCTAGAACTTCCACAGGCCGCGGGGCAGCAAGCCGGCTCTGTGGTCCTCAGCGGGGCAGGGTGGGGGTTGTCCCTGGGAGCCTGCTAGAGATACAAGGCCTGGGATCCCTCGCCAGCTCTGCTGAAGCAGGGACTCTGGGGGCTGGGTCCCTGCAGCCTGTGTTTTAGCAAACTCTGCCAGTGGCTGTGATGCACACCCCCGTCAGAGAACCACTGCCCTGGTGGCAGCGGCGGCGGGGTAGAGGCAGAAGCCCCGGAGCAGAGCGGTGGTGCGGTGTTTGTACTTACTTTCCATGTCGCAGATTAATACAGCTGGCGTTTTTTCACAGCTGTTTGTGATTACGTATAGAGAAGACAGAGCAAATGTTAAGTGTCCTTATCAGAGAAGGGTGTGTTATTATTTTAGTTTTACTGGGGAGCTTCAGGGGTGCTGAGGGTGACGATGCAAGGTGGTCCCAGGGTCTCCCTCCTGTGCTCTCGGAACTGGCGGTGCTCTGCGTCATTCCTGGAGTCCAACCCTTTCTCCTTCTAAGGTTGTCTTCTGCCCGGTCCTGGCCTTCCCTCCACAGCAGGGTCTTATTGTGAGGGCTCTGTGGCCGGCCCACTAGCTTCTTGCTTGCACCTCCCCCTCCCCCGCCCCCAGCAGGTGCCATCACCTTCAAACTCTAGTGTTTGTCACGACACACCTGTGCTTCAGAAACCAGGTCACCCCCCAGCGGTGCTCCCCCAGGGCTGATCTTCTGGACCGCAGGGGGCCCCCCCCCGCTTTGCCTTCCTCCTCTCCCCACCCCCTTCACCCGGTGCGGCCATTACCAGCCAGGCAGACCTGCTCCGTCCAGCAAACAGACTGACTCGTACCGGCCCGTTAGTGCAGACTGGAGAAATTTCCAGTCAGACGGGGACCTCAGAATGGTCCGGTCCAAAGCTCACCGCCTCCGGAGAGCTGGGCCCGGAACAGTGTCGGCAGCTGTGGTCATAGGGAAGGACTGGAGAGAGAGAGAGAGAGAGAGAGAGAGAGGGAGAGTTTGGGGACTGAAACCCACTCTGCTTTTCCCTTTTCAAAGACACGTGACCGAGTGTTTGACTGTGTCTACTCTGTTACTTGGTCGCCCGTGTGTTAGCCACAGGCTGACCAGCGGACTGTCTGATGATGCTGTGAGTAGCCCCTGTGGCGTGGGGACGAGGTCCCGCCCTGATGTCAGCGGAGGCCCCTGGTCTGTCGGGGTCTGGGTACACGGGCTCTCGTCCCTTCTGTGAGCACTCGGTATTGGGGGGTTGGGGGGGTGGGGCTAGGGCTGCAGTCCTCGGGGTTTTCCCAGGAGACCTCGGACCACCCAACATTCTTCTTGCCCCAATTCCCTACCTCTGCTCATTGCTGCCCTCTCTCTGCTTCTGGCTGTCCTCACATCTGCTCTGACGTGGGCCGAGGTGCGGACCAGGCCCCTTCCCCCCTCCTCTTCCTCTTCGGGAGTGGACAGCGGCTGTCTGCTGAAGCAGACTTGGCGGAAGCTGAGGGATGCACAAGAGAGACCCCGGTACGCAAATGCAGGCAGACCCTTTACACTCATAGCTCTGTTCTCAGCGGTCCTCCCTCCACCCAGCACCGACCCTGTCCTTAGAGGCCACCTCACCTGTGCGGCTCAGGGGCAGGTATCTCAGAATCAGGCAACGGGGCTCACCTCGGAAGGACAGTTTGGGTGTGGGGAATGAACACCAGCAAGTGACAGTTATTTCCCTGAAAGAGTTTGCCACCAACAGACAATCTGTGGCCTTGACTCTATTCCCAGCCACGGGTAGTTTGGGCCCAGGTTAGAAAGAGATCTTCTCCGTGACTAACGTGTGACCCCAACGCCTCTGCTTTTCTGGAACTCTTGATTAAAACTCCAAATCTCCGAGCAGTGGCTTCCAAACACTTTATTTTTGATCCCAGCACCCAAATGTGACAATGTGTCTGGGACGTGTGTGGCCCCCTCCCCCAGCCTCGTTCCCACGGCCCGTGTCACCACGTGCATTCCCACCGGGTTTCCACAGTGAGGTTGAACCTCGGCCCCGCGACCTCCCGAAGGGATGCTCGGGAGGGTTCCAAGTGAACCACGTGGCAGGTGGGGAGGCTTGGGGTTTGCATCTTCGCAGACATTAGCCAACTTCGAGGTAGCTGGGCCTTGAAGAACTTCCACTTCATTATGGGGGAGCTGGTGTCTGAATGAGTGGAAGTCTAAATTGTGGACAGCTTTAAAAAATGCTGTCTTCTCCTGCTCAAGTACCTGCAAGTTATACTGACTGCTGACAGAGTGTGTGTGGAGTGGGTTTCACTCTCAATAGGCAGGCTCCTGTTTTAATTCGCGTGCTCGATGGATGCTGTCGGAGCTCTTGAAAAGTCTCCCTTTAATCTTGTCTCCATCAGTGCTCTGCTGAGCAGACTCTTTTGATGTTTGACAAAGAGTAATTGAGACCTTTCCTCTTGGAGATTTTTAGAAAGGATTTTATTTATTTATATTTAGAGAGAGGGGAAGGGAGGGAGAAAGAGAGGGAGAGAAACATCGATGGGTCACACTCCCCCAACTCAGCCAGGGTCCTGGCCCACAACCTAGGCATGTGCCCTGACCGGGAATTGAACCAGTGACCTTTCGCTTTGTGGGACAACGCCCAACCCACTGAGCCACGGCAGTCAGGGTCAATGTCACAGATGTTTTGAGAACTGTTGAAGGTTTCCAAGAATTTTTTTTAAAAACCTTTTAGGAGAATTAAATCTCTTCTTTCCTCTGGGCCTAGCAGGACTCAACCCTCTCAGCCTTCCACCGGTATAAGCTTCATGTGTTGTTATCCAGGAACCGAGGTGATGAGTGCTTACTGGCCGGGTTCAAGCGGGATCGCCAGCTCACCGTGGCCTCGCCACCCCATCGGACGCACTTCACAATGCCTGGGTAGTCATTTCAGATTCCGAGTCTTCCGTCTCACTGTCTGGCTCGCTTGTCTTTTCTCAGCCCATCAGCCTCCCCTGGTGTTACACACCTCCCCCCGCAGCCTGTACTCCCTCCTCTATCGGGAGCTGCGAGCTGCTTTCATGCGAGAGGGCTCAGCAAAGTCAAGGTTCTCCCTAGTAGCAGACAGGGTGTATCTTATTGCTCATGCAGAAGGATGCCTGCTTTGCAAAAAACCGCTGAACATTCTGCTTGTGTGTACGTGTATTTGCTCACAAATGCAACATATAGGCAGTGCTGTGGGTCACTCTGAGCCGTGGGTCAGGAGGAGGAGAGATTTGGGGCCACGGAACCTCTGGTTTTCTAACTCCGGGGTCCGGGATATTCAGCCTCTCGGAGCCCAGGTGTCCTGGTGCTCGGTGAGGTTCCCGTGGTGCCTTGGAGAGCTCATTTGCAGCTAAATAAGGCAACACAGGTGGAGGCCCTGGGACGAGGCTCGGCCCACGGCCTGCGCTGAAGGAGAGGCTGCTCACGTCCGAGTCTGCACGCCGGGCTCCCAGGGAGCACAGTCGTGGGGTGCTGTGGCTGGAGGTTATGGTTCTGGAAGATCTGTAATTCATCTGGGGGGCTCCCCAGGTCCACGAAAAGTTGTCTTTGTAACGAGAGGGACAGATGTATGGCAGGGGCAGAGGGGAGATGCCGGGAAAGGGGAATATTTTAGGAATTGAACGAGTCAGGGAGAGGAAGGCCAGGGCACAGGTGGGCCGTGGGCTGGGGGGAGCCGCTCAGCTCCCGCACCTGGGCCGGCCGCGTTATTTTTGGCTCCCCGAGGGCTGAGTTATTCTGCGGCTTCCAGCGTGGGTTTTCAGATATTACCGAGGGAGACCTGTGTGACTCTGTTTCTGTGTTTTTGCTTCTAGTCAGAAACATTTCATGCTCTGAAAATCGGCTTAAAATAAACCAGAGCAGGGGAAATGTCTATTTTTCATTTTCTGGGAGCAGGCTGTCCCGGGGTCCCTGGAGACACCCTGCCCATGCTGGCAGGAGCTCTGAGGAAGGCGAAGAGTGCATTCCCACTCTGCCGAGCCCAGAGGAGGGGGCCCCAAAAGGCTCAGACTGGGGTGGGGTGGTCGGGGGCACGGGGCCGGGTCCTCCTCAGGCGGGGAGGAGCAGCAGAGGGCACCCTGGCTGAGTTTTCTAGGACACGAAAACTGAGCGGGGACTCTCTGTCCTGGGAACCTACGGAGCTCAGCTTCACGTCCCAATTTTAAAGCTCTAGCGACATTGTTTTCTCTTGATTTCAGCCCCTGGGTCTTTCTGCTGAAGTGGTCATTGCCCCACAGACACTCAGAGTAGAACTGGGGAAGCCAGGGAATGACCAGCCTGGAGGTTACCCTTGTCTGAGGGGTCAGAGCCTGCCTCGAAGCGCTCCCTCTTTGCTCCTCAGGGGGCAGTGCTGAGCGTGGCCCGCAGGCCCTCTGCAGACCTCTGGCTGCAGTGACCCCAGGCCGGGAGGGAGGAGCAGCCAGGGTTACCCTGGTTGTAAGGCAGTCACACTGCCTGGGAGGTGGCGCAGTGTGTTATGGGAAAGCGGCCTTGGGTTAGCTGTCAGTGTCTGTTGTGAGCTCTCGGGAAACCACTTAAAAAGAAAAGAAAAGAATTATAACCAGTATGCTGAGAAAAAGAGAAGATGGAATCATGGAAGACGCTCAGGTAAAACCGCAAAAGGCAAAAAACAACCCCGCCCCCCCCCAAAAAAAAAGCCAACAAAAACCAACAAAAAACCCCCAACAAAACCCAGTGGAGCACAAACCCAGGAACAAGAAACAAGGGCAATGACTGGAGAGCAGTAGCGAATGCGGTGGGTGTTCATCCAGCTACATCAATACTTACTTGAATGTGGATGGCCTAAATGCGCCCATGAAAAGACAGAGATTGTGAGAGTGGATCGGAAAACCAGACCCACCTGTAGTTACGGATGGGAAACTTGAAAGAAAAAGACTCCTACAGATTAAAGGTAAGTGGATGGAGAGAAATACACCACGCGGACACTCATCAAAAGAAAGCAGGAGACGCTAGCTATGTTAATTTCAAACAGCACAGACTTCAAAGCAGGGGGAGGTTTCAGGGGTAAAGGAGGGCATCGTATAAAAAACGCCACCAGGTGGGGCTACTCATGGGAGGATTTCTCAGGGGATGCAGCCAGTGTTGGCTGCGGGCCGCTGAAGACGTCAATATTGCTCAGGGACCGTTTTCAAGAATCCATGCGAATGCAAGGGGAGCATGCACCCGAGGTCTTACTTCACTCATGGACTGACGATGAAGAAGGCAGTCCGGTGTTACGAACAGGTTGGAGGAGGACCCTCAGAGCAAACAGGCGAGTCTGTCGGGAGCGCTGAAGCCACGTGGCGGAGCAGTTGTGGACTGGTGACGTCCGGGTGGACAGGGCAGCCGTGGGCCGCTCTCCGTGGAACTCAATCTGCATTCTAGAAGCAGGAATCGTTTGCACCCCTGTTGGCTTTCTCCCACGCACAGAACAGTGGAATAGCTCCAAGACGATGGAAAATGGAGATGGCCAAGTTGGGAGACTAGTCAGGGTACCCACTGAGCTTCGAAGCCTGTTTCAGAGTCTTGAACCATTTTCCTGGAACATGTAGGTGGAGGGGTTGGGGAGGAGGGGTAAGGGACACAGGTTATTTTCCCAAAGACTGGCTCTAGTCTGGACCAGCCGGGAGCTGCCTGGCATTTTTCAGCCTCTCCAAAGCTTCTGGTGGGCGGGGAAGACATAAGGTTTGCACGTCCAGCACGTCCAGCACGGGGCTCTGAAGTGCTTGGCACCGGGCCAGAGTCTGTGGGTGGCCGGAATGTATCTGGGAACTCATCCCCCAGGCTTCTTCAGGGTTTTTGTTTTTTTTTAAAGATTTTATTTATTTATATTTTTAGAGAGTGAGGGAAGGAGGGAGAAAGAGACGGAGAGAAACATAAATGCATGGTTGCCTCTCATACGCCCCCTCCTGGGCACCTGGCCAGCAACCCAGGCATGTGCCTTGACTGGGAATTGAACTGGAGACCGTTTGGTTTGCAGGCTGGCACTCAATCCACTGAGCCACACCAGCCAGGGCATCTCCAGCATTCTTAAGTCTTCCCCATTTTGTGTGGGTCGTTCACCTAAAGCAGACTGTTGTCAGTCATTTTCCTTCTGAAAGAGGTAAAAACGGAAATCAGTAAAATTCTCCTCACGATGCCCTGCGTCATACCAGTCTCCTGGCTCTCTCTGGGGTTTGTGCCCTAGGGCCCGGCTATGGGTGAGATTGTACTAAGGAGCAGTTACTATTAGATCCTTGTTACAGTTACAGCCCAAGTTCTCTTTAATGACAGCTTTTATCACGTCAGATAATCAGCTGGAACACTCCAGGACAGGGCTATCAAAGCCCCTCTTTCTAGTATGTATCATCAGAGAAAAATATTGTGGACCAGCGGGCAGACACTCAGACACCTGCAGGACACACAGCACGAAACATCCCGTCTGAGCACCTGTAAGACCCTCTCCACCCTCAGGAAGAGGCAGCTGTCCGCTTGCCTGTATTAGTGGGAACCAGCCAGGCGTGGCCAGTGATTTTCCGGTGTCGTCTCCTGAAATTCCATCATCCTTTTCTGTTCCTTTTTTTCCTTTTCAGAAATTAAAACAATAATGTACTAAACCATTTATTATTACTTTAGTTTTCTTATCACTTGGGTTTGGTGAGAAGGGTAATGTTTTCACCTTTTCACGCCGTGAAAATTGTGACCTGGGGCATGATACAGAGTGTTTGCTAGAAGACGGTTTTCTTGTTTGAGCCACGTATGTGTCATCAGCAGGCTTCCTCTTCCTGAACGTGGAGAGGGCCTCTGCCTGTAGTTTCCATCTGGAAAAGCAGCTCTTCGGAACCTGGTTCAGCTCGGGGCCCACAGGCTGCTGCTCTCTGCCCCCAGCGTTTTCGGATGGTATTGCAGTCTCCTGGGCTGTGGAAGGGCAACCTTAATCCCTCCTGGCACTTCGCTCTTCTTTACCCTCCACACCCCATCAGCCGCCCGGGCCGATGGATGCTGCTTGCTTCTCTCCCAACACCACCCTTTCCTCTGTGTCTTCACTATCACCGGGCTTTTCCAGATCCCCCCCTTTTCTCATGGCTGATCTGCCTTCTTGCTGATCACCCCAGTCCTAGGCTCATGCGTGCCTCCCAGCTGGAACGTGGGTAACCGTACTGGTGGTTCCCAACATTTTCGTGAGCAAAGATCCACTCCCTGTTGACTTTGAGTTAAAAAAACAAAATGAAACAAAACAGAGCAAAGCAAACAAAAAAACAAACTGTGGACCATCCCATGAGAGTAATTGTTCTTTGGACTCTCAAAGGTCAAAAGAAACACAGGCTATTTCCATTTTTTGTTTCCCAGAATATTAAAAAAAAAAGTGAAGGAATGCCAAAATAGCTTATGAAAATTGTGGTGTGTTTTAATGGTTCGCATTTAACAAATTAGTAATTTTAACATGAGAAAAGTAGGCATTGTAGTTCTGCCTTTCCCAGGCTAATTGGAAGATTTATTAAAACATCAGTTCCCCAGTGTAAGTTGCCTGGGGTCTTATCTTGCAGAAGAACGGATCTGCCTTTAGTGAGCTGCCGTCTCTAGAGGTGGAGCCCTCTTCTGGTTGGGCATTTCCACAGAACGGAGTCTAGAAACCCGGGCCTTAGGCCAGCTGAGCTCACGGGGGAGATTTGTGCCGGAACATCCTTACTGTTCTCTAAAATAGTAGTCCTTTGTGTGCTTTCCATTTGCTGAATAAATGTGTAAGTAAATACCTATAGCCCTATCAGGACTTGGACTTCATCACCTACTGATATAAGACAGAATATATAATGTCACTTACACTTTGCTATGAGTCAAAATATTCAGAGTGTTAGCCTATGTTTGCATATGAATTTAAAAAGTTAATTTTTACTCCATGAGTTGCCTGACCAGTAGTATCCTTTGGAGCCCTCCGAGGTTGGCGGTGGTCATGAGAAATATGTACATTTCCTTGCTCTGCTTTTGAAAATCCTAAGTGGGACAGAGCAGGGCTTGGCGTTGGTTGGTAACTCACTGGTGCCCCTTTTCTTCCCTCACACTTCAGGGTCGAAGTCGCAGAACTGTGTGTGGAATTCCCTCATCGATGGGCTCACGGGCGAGGTCAAGGAGAAGCCGCGGCCAACGATTGTCCATGACCCCCGACCCCCGGAAGAAATCCTAGCAGAGGAATTGCCCCAGCTCGACAGCCCAGAAGCCTTTGTGAAGACATCCTTCAGGTTTGGTGGCTTGTAGCTCTGTCTGTCCTCTCTCATTTGCTTGTGGAGTGACTTTGCCAGTTGGATGCGTCGTCAGCGTGGCCAGCAGATGACCTCATTTCTTGGCACGGAGGAAAATCAGAGTTGATGAAGGAGTGTTGGAATTAATGCTAGCTGGACTTCTGGCTGGATTTCCTGAATGTGGAGAAGATCCTATCAGGAGTTAAGTTGCTGTTGGTATTTAATTGGCATTGGCATTTAAATGCTGAGGCAAAGGATTTACTGATGTTGGCAATTTGAATTGGATTAATGAGCCTTTTGCTTCAAAGGAGGTTGGCATGGGGAGATAAGAAAAGGCACGTGGTAGAAATGAATTCAGCCCTGTGCTTGCAGCCTTCTGGGGGTGGGAGGGAAGGTTACTAAGTCGTAAGAGATGTGAGAGCCGCTGCCTCCCGAATGGAATCCAAGACCTTCCCTTGTGGTTGCCAGGTGGCTGTTTACTGTCTTCTTGCTCTTTGTTTAGTTCGAGTCTTCCTGCAAAGGCCTCTGGCATTTTCTTTCATTGTGACTCTGGCTCCTACCTTCTTACCTCGCGTTAAATGAAAACCAATCTGGGTATGCAGGAGGTGTTACAAGTGACTCCTTCTTTCTGAATGGGTCTTTCAAAATTGTGTTTGAAATACACAGTAGTACCACACGAGAAGTCAGATTCAACGGTTTTGCCAGCCTGCCTTCCTCCCCTCCTCTCTCCCTGTTACCCTGACCTCTTTCCTTTTTCTTTCCATTGGAGAACGCGTTCACACTCTGCACGTGGCTAGCACAACAGATAGAGCTCATTTTTCTCCCCTCATAAGCAATGCAGACAGCCCTTGGAGTCCATGAAATATGCTTGAAAAATGTGCTCTTTTGCATCCAGGCGATGTGTATAATCGCTCAGTAAAAGCCGTTTCATTGTGTGAAGGTTCTCGGCGGAGGATGAATTGTAGATGGGTTCCGAAAGGCGTGATGGATGGAGGTTTGCATTTCTTTGTATAATGTGGCTGATGCGGTGGCGGAACAGGCATTGCAAGGCAAATGCTTTTATTATTCCTGGTTGGGGTTTGGTTACTACATTGCGGGGTCGCAAACAAAATAAAGCCCACTTGAGTAGAGAGAAGTACAGTCTACGAACCTGCGATTCTCTGCAAGTGCTTCGGCGGAGAGGAGGGTGAATGGCCGTCTGGGTCCGTGTGTCCATTCTTGGCTCTTGTCTCCGGTGGAGTCCACCCCTTTGCGTACAGTCTTCCTGCACCCCACCAGGTCCGTTTGCTTCTCCAACGTGCAGCTGAAGGGTGGCTCGCATGCAAAGAACATCCTGTCCCCCAGCCCAAATCCATTGCCATAATCCCTCCTCTTCGCATTTCCTCAGGGCTCTTTAATAGGGGAAAAGTATCGATGACCATGAACTTCATTTCATCTGCTAGTTGTATGATGTGTCGGTGTCTCAGCTTCAGAAATACGGTAGATTCAGTCATAAGGGTTCAGGTCGGGACTTACATCTGGTTCCTGGTGAGACCTTGTGCAGCAGGACGAACACGGCATGTGTAAATGGGCCGACCCTTCGGCCTCTGGAGCTGGAAGCCCGCGGGCATCGGCCATTCATCTATCAGAGTCCTTAAGAGCGTGCGCGCTGCTCGGGAACCGTTCTTTCTTCCAAGGAAGGTAGCTGACTTCAAAGGCAACGTTAGAGGGTGAGTGTCCTCGAATGTAGTTGTCCCTAACTGTGGCGGTCACCACAGTGGCCAGATTTGTCGTATGTAAATTATTATAAGCAAAGCACTAACATGTGGGAAAAGTTGACTTCGCAGGAAGTACAGTGGGGCAGGATCAGGTGACCCTTGTTGTCGCGCTGCTGGTTTTCTGCACGCCCCTGGAGGGCGCAGGGGAGCAGTGAGCTACAGCTGGATTTTAAGTGATGCTGAACGGACGTGTCACTCTGGTGTTCTCCCCTCACGTCTCTCACGGAGTGGAGACACCTGAGAGCTGGTGACATTCCATGCAAGTGACTCTGGGAAATCCAGGAGGAGTGGAAAGTGTGTGTGTAAAACACATTATAGCCCTGGCTGGTGTGGCTCAGTGGATTGAGCATCAGCCTGCAAACCAAAGGGTCACAGGTTTGATTCCCAGTCAGGGCACATGCCTGGGTAGGGGCATATGAGAGGCAACCACACATGGATGTTTCTCTCCCTCTCTTTGTCCCTCCCTTCCCCTCACTCTAAAAATAAATAAATAAAATCTTCAAAAAAACACATTTATACACACTCCCACATACTATCAAGAGACCTGGGCCTGTGATCGGCAGCATCTGCTTTTCTCGGCTTCGGAGGGTCCGCTTTGCCGAGGGGGAGGAGCACAAGGCTCTCAGGGATTGTCATCGTCTGTCCCCTCGCCCCTCTGTAGGGTCGTTGCCACTGAGCAGCAGGAGGTGCGTGGTGGCATTGGCCAGTACCTTTTCTTCTTATTCACACTTGGGGAGCGTTGGGAACCGGGAGCCACAGAGAAGGGTCGTCAGCTTTCATCATTACATAAGATCCAACTTGCAACGACAGTAAGCTCCAATGTGCCAGACTATCAGGAAGTCCAGTTTTTTCTTGGGGTTCTCCTCTCTAACTCTTCTCAAGGACCCCCTAGGCGTCCCAACAATGGCTTAAGAGTCAGCCCTTACCCTGCTCTGCCCCCAGCTCCTGCCCCTGCCAGGGTGAAGGGGGCTTATGTGGAAGGTGGACTTTCTGGCCTCAGTGAAGTCACAAGACTACATCACCACGCCATACCTCCTGCCTCTTGTGATGTCTCCTCCTGTGGGGTCCTGTTGTCCTTTCCCGACACCAGGCCTCAGAGGGCCCCGCCCACTGCTGCCAGACACAAACTAACAACCTCGATCCTCAAAGAGAAGGAGTTAGACGCTTCATTTCACTTCCCCCAGAAATTGCTTCTAGCCAATTGCAAGTATGTGGAGACAGTGATAGGCAGGCCACTTCCAGGACCAAGCGTCTACACGCGTTTTCTATTTGCATAATACCGTCATTCACATAGTTCTTTCAAGGTCAAAGGGACAGTCTGCCCTAAAGGTATATTCTGTTCTCTATCCCCAAATGTGTGCGGTGTTGTTTATATTGATACATTTACAAAAGGCAGGTGTTTTCCAAAAAATTTTTAAAAGTTTGTGTGTTTCAGTCTCCCCCAGGTTCCCCGTTATAACAACAATAACCTTGTTCGGTGTTCTTATCTGGCCAGGCAGGTCCGTTTCAGAGATGAAGAATCTGGCCCCCAAAAGTGCAGCCTGTAGTTTAGATTGAATTCAAACAGGTCAATAAGGACAGTGGTGAGTTGGTGGTCTGCAATGGCAGAAGCAAGGGGTGGCTTGTGTAGACGTTGGCTCCTCAATCTGTATCAGCCCCTGGAATCCCACCCCTAACAAACAGGTCATCTATGGACCCGCCCAGAGCACGTGCTCTCGACACAAATGCGGCTTCAGGAGAAGTCCTCCTCCGAGCAGGCTGCTGCTGGTGGCTGGCAGCGTGCGTGTAGGTTGGTTAGCTGTAACGTGCACGGCCAGAGCGCGGGGCAGAAGTGGGAATCCAACACATAGATTTAGAAACGAGGATTTTGGAAGATGAGAGACACCACCTTTTTCCCCGCCAAAGCTTGTAAGTTGACAGCTGAGGGGCGTGCAGATGCCCCCCCGCCCCAGGTCTAACCCGGTCCCTGACACTGTCCCTCTAGGCCTCTTTGCTGGGCAGGGGGGCTGAGGCAGGCGTGCCGAGTCGGGAAGCAGACGGCTCAGCGGACTCTTGGGGAGAAAGACAGCAGCATGTGCAGGGAAGGGCCTTCTCATCCCTGTCCTGTTCCAGACCCAGCCAGCGAGTACCCCTGGAAAGTATGGCAGGTGTGGGCCCTGGTGTGCTGTGGGCTTTTGCCTCTACTCCCCGTGACAGGGACATGGTGAGCAGCCCAGGTAGGACAGCGCGATGCTGAAAGTGGCTGTCCTGGACTTTACACCTAGTTCTGTTACCATGGGCAGGCCGCTTCCTCTCTTCGAACCTCCGTTTCCTTAACTGTCACGTGTGAGCGTTGAACTGGAACGGTGGTTCTCAGACTGGTGTGCGTCACAGTCACCTGAAGGGCTGTGACATTGTGGGGCTCACCTCCAGGTCTGGCAGTGGGGGGGACGGTGTCCCAGGATGTGCCTTTAGAAGAAGCTTCAGGTGGTGCTGATGTTGCTGCACCAGGACAGCTCCTGGAGAACCACAGAACTACATGAGATTTAACATCCTTTTGAGCTAAAATATTTTGTGTTAATGTGAGCAGGTCACTTACCCGCACTTTGCCGTGTATGCTGCACACCATGTGTGTGCACTTTATCCGCGGGATTATTCTGCCCATTACTCTACCCATGGTGGGGAACCATCATACCCATGTGTAGTGTGCATCCTTATTTCCCCCTCAGAAATCTGGGCAACAAAGTGCGCACTAAGCACGGCAAAATACGGCTTCTAACTTGGCCTCAGTGCTTTCATCTGTGAAGCAGGGATACAGATGCCCACCTCTCAGGGTTGTGGGGGGATTTGAAGCAGATCATTCATTATGCATGTGGAAGAGATAGACCCAGTGTTCAACACCGTGAGCTCATTTCCTATCCCTGCTCAGCACTCACGCAAGCCTCGCCTGCCTTGGACCGCGGGCCGCAGAGGAAGTAGGATCAGATGTGGGCGCTGTGGCTTCAGGTGCGGGCCCTGTGGGCCCTGAGTGCGGGCCCTGTGGGCTCTGAAAGCTCACCGGACCTCTGGCGCGAAAGGTCTGCTTTCCAAACCCGAGCCTTGGAGGAGAAGAAAGTGGGAACGGTAACTAAATAAAGGGCTTCAGTGTCTGGAAAGCAGGCACTTCTGGGACCTGCACCCCAGCTGCCTGTCCCCCTTGTTTTTGCTGACCTGTCCCTTGGAACCTGCTGCTTGGCTCAGGGTTTTCTTAAGAGAGATGAAAGA